GAAAATTTAGGGGTATACTTAGATGACCTAACAGGCATTGCCCAGCTGTGTGCCAGCTATCTAGGCATTCATAGCCCCAAGGAGAATGATAACCACCACAAAGATAAATCCTGTTGGAGTACAAACCACTTCCACTACTAAGGTGGTACTGTTCATGAATAGATAGAAACTTTTTATGACAAATCCAGAAGTATTCCCTCTCTTAGCAATAATCTCAGAGATTTGGATGATGGTGTTATCTTTCCAGGCCAGTGTCAGAGTAAAGGAAAGAAAGGGAAGAAAAAAGGGTTTTGTGTTAAAATATGAAGTCTTGATCCAGTGTCTTGGAAGGAAGCAGTCTACCTCAATGTCAGCTACTTCCCTTCCTAGTCAATTTGATTTGGAAGCCTCCATCATTTTTATAGGACAGATGTCAGGTGTCTGTAAAAGCAACTTTAGTTCCTTAAAACTGTCTTTGTTATATCTGAGTCTCTGTACAACTCTCTCAAATATGATATTCCAGTCAAAGCTTTGGTAATATAACCTATGTTTCCAAGTATCCTGTTCTAAGGGGAACAGATTTTCATTGAATTTATATAAATAAGTAACTATTTTGCTGTGAAAAGAATACTCAAAAGTGTTTTAATTCTGGAGGGATTGGGTAGGAAGAAAATTTAAGTATTTCATTTTGTTCACAAAGATATATCTTACCAAATTGTTGATAGCTTAAGAGAAAAGATAATAAGGTTCCATAAAATCCAAAGAGCAAAACATTAGAGAATCATCAATGTCTTAAGCAAGTCATAAAAAATATAGTCATCCTCCTCAGTTAATTTAGTCGCATTTACTAATTTTTGCTGTTTTTGAATCCAGTTTTCCCAGTAGCTTTGGAAATTCAATACCTAGTTCAGTTTTATAATCTGAAAGTGACCAGAAATCTGTGTTTAGAGTACTTGTCATCTTTCCATAAATTTCTCTGAAGATGAAACACGTATGCAAGAAGCTTTTGTAAAAGCATTTGAGGAAAACAATAACTCTGTAAATGACAAAAAAACTTAAAATTGGCCATGGTAAGATCTGATCAAAGTTCATTATAATGCAATTGATAAGGAAATTTGTGACATATGTTTTAAGATGCTAACTAGAATTACAAATGTTAACATTATATTAGGACATATCAGATTTCCAGAAATTTTATGTAATTTCTGGAACATTGATACAAACACAGCATAAAGAAGGCTTAGTATTCTTATTTGACAATACTTCCCATATAGTTTAGCATATCAAATAACCTAATTAGTTTAACATCCACGCTCATAAGTGATTTATAAGGAGAGAGACTAAATCCTTTGAAATGTTCCAGGGGCCCTCTAGAAAAACCTAAAGATAGTTTGAAGTCAAAAAGACTTTATTTAGAATTTAATTTTTAGGAAGTTTGTCAAAAATATCAGAAAGGTTTTAAAACATTTGGTCAAATACAATCATACATTACTGTGAAACAATACTTAGTTATCCATTTAATCATGGTAACAAAAGAATTTGCAGACAAATACAGAAAATTAAATGGCCATGAAAAGGGAAAACTTTTAATCTTGAGAAAGTTTGATTTTCTTAACTGATCAAAGACCTGATTGAAACAACATGAAGTACATGACATTATTTTGATAAAATACACAATTTTTGTTTTCTAGGCAGATTAGGGGCAAAGAAAAACTCTTCATAATCTCTTATTATGCATGAGACAGTCACTAAACAAAGTCAGCCATCATTCTAAATTATCTTTTGCTGACATAGTTTGCAACAAGAGATAATGTGAACTTATTTGACTAGTAAACCCAGGTAGAATAAAGAGTTGTGTGTCTATATTATATTCAATGTTTATAACTCTAAGACATGTCTGTGTTAATTAAACCAACAAACTTGGACTACTTTTATTTAGCAAAAAGTATCCTAGATCACATGAAGTTGGAAAACATTTGGGTTAGTTTTTGTTACATTTTTAAGATTTAGGAATAATTTATATGCACTTACTTTTAATCCAATGAAATAGAGCTCTTTACAAATTAATTTTAGCAATACCATCCAGAGGTAGAAAATGTGACATATCCACAATAGACACACAAATATATAAACAGAGACCGTATTGTTTTAAAATTTTTAGCCATGAGATATGTATGATACAACAAAACTCCCTAATTTATCAAAGAACAGTTAGATCCAAACTGATTTTCTGACAGGTGGAGTAATTTAAGGTTTACTTTCTCAGGCAGCTCAAGGTTTTTCTAACATTTGTGGAGAAATCTCATGATTTTTTAATTGTCTAAGTTTCAAATGACCTTTCCTCCTTTTCTTCTACTTCTGATAAGAATTACCATCCTGAAGTTTATACTTGTAATATTTTTACTTCAAATACATAAAGAAAGAATGCAAGTTCCTCCTAGAAGAACTTTGGTTTCCTAAGGCCAATAATTTACAAGCCTTGTGAGATAAATAGGGGAGATTTGGGAATTGGTAAAAGGAATAGGTGAACTTTGAATTGCCTTTAGAGCCACATTTCTAGTTTTGTAAAGATTTGTAAGATAATTAAAAGAGTTCTTTTAACCCCTCAGAGAATTGGGTCACTGTATGGGTGTAAAAGGACTGACATACCTATCCACCTATGTTGGAATTGTTTTCTTTCCCTTTGGGTATGTTTAGCTTAGAGGAGAAGGCTGTTGGCTCATTTCTGTCAGTTTTTCCAGGATCCTACCTACAGGTTCTGAGTGGGAGTTAAAGTAGAGAGTGTAGTTCTGATATTTACTAGAATTTGGCTATTTTTTAGAATTTAAATTTCAGTTTTCTCTTAGCTGTTTAGGGTAATAATGTAGCAGTTTACTGAAAAATCCATCATAATTTTAGGAACTCTGGAGGGGCTCCTAGGGAGCTCTTGTTGAATGTAGATACTAGAGTATCAGTAAGGTCATTAACTTTTCTTTCTTATCATGTTAAGGCAATTTAGACAGGATAACTAGAATGAGTATTCAAATAGAAGAGATGGAGGGAAGCAGTAAGAATTGTATCAGTTTTATACTCTTTTGTGTTAGATACTCTTGTGTCTTTTTTACTTTTCATGAGCTTTTGCAACAAAATTTCCAGTGAAGTTATTTTGGGAATTTTGAAGCCTTTGCTTTAAAAGCATTCTTTAAATGACCTTACCTAATCAGAACATTCCTCATAATAGCCATGGTAATTCTAGGTAGTAATGACTGGTAACAGTTTTAAGACCCTAGCCCCAAAAGGGGTTTAACTCTCATTTCGGTCCAGCCATACCTAGCCACAGATGCCATGCAACTCACATTTCTGTCTGCTGTAATCTGTGGGCCCACAAACCGACAGTTACGAAGCTATGTTCTTCAGGACAATGCTAAAAAGAAAAACAGCCCCAACAGGGGGTCACTTCTCCTAGGTCAAGTTAGTTGCAGTTTCAGCCTTTCCCAGGAGTGGGATTTTAAACCTGTTTGGAACCTCCTAGTGAGGTCATCTGCGTAAGACCCCCTGCTCCTCCTAAGGGAGGGTGACCATATCTGAACCAATCCCTAAGCTCTTCTTATGTTAATAATTATTTGCCCCACCCTCCTGTCTATAAAAGCCATCCATTTTGTTTGACCCCCTCAGAGCATTTCTCTACTTGTTAGATGAGATGCTGCCGGATTCATGAATGGCTTAATAAAACCAATGACATTTTCACATTTTCTTGGTTGAATTTTGTATTTTAACAACACAAAACAAGTTCAGTAAGGTTTTGCTGTTTTTGTAGGTGCTTACAGCTCCCAGGACCATAGTTCTGAGACATAAAGTAAGCAGGCATGCCAGAACATGGTGCACTTGACTCTAGAAATTAAGGATCCCATTTTTAATATCATTTATTATTTTTCTTTTAGCTAAGTCTTTTAGTTTCTTGAAGCCAGATTAATACCTAAGAGGAAGTGCCATGGTGTTGGGGTCGTGTGGTATTTCACAGTGTACTTTGTCACCCCCACATTTTTTGAGGGTGAGTTGCCTAACCTCTATCTAACCCGTTCTGTGACCAACTTATCCTAACACGGGAGTCTTTGGGTTAGGTGGGGAGCAGTCTAGGTGCTCTTAAATGCTTGACTTGCATCCACCAATTTTTTTTTAGCTTGTAGCCCCTAAGATACCATTAGCCACTTGCTCTGGGATAGTTGTGACATTGATTTATGATATAAAATATGTATTTGGTCTACCTCCTGTTTCTGGCCCAGAGCTCCTAAAACCTTTGGAATTTCCTGTGATGAGAGTAATAAAGGTGGTTTTTGTTATATTAATGAGGAGCCTTTGGAAAGCACCTCTGGATGGGGCTGGTTGCCCTGAGAACCAACCCTGTTATTAAAGGGTTAGAACTTTCAGTCCCAATCCCCTAACCTCCAGGGAGGAAAAAGGGGTAGAAGCTGAATAATCACTGATGGCCAATGAGTTCATCAGTCATGCCTATGTAATGAAGCCTCCATAAAAACGCAAACGGTCAGGTTTCAGGGAGCTTCCAGGTAGGTGAACTGTGGAGATTTGGGGAAAGTGGCACACTTGAGCTAGGAGAGAGCATGGGAGCTCTGCACCCTTTCCCCATACACTGCCCTGTGTATCTCTTCCATCTGGCTAATTCTGAGTTATATCTTTCTATAATAAACTGGTGACCTAGTAATAAAATGTTTCTCTGAGTTGTAAGCTGCCCTAGCAAATTTATCAACCCAAGGAGGGGGTCACAGGAACATTCAGTCTATAGCAAGTTGGTTGGAAGCACAGGTGATAGCCTGTGCTTGTGACTGGCATCTAAAATCTGGGAAGGGGTAGTCTTGTGGGACTGAACCCATAATATGTGGAATTTGCTGCCATCTCCAAGTAGAGTTGAATGGCAGGATGCACAGATGGTGTTGGAGAATTGCTTGTTGGTGTGGGGAAACACCCACACCCACACACACTGGAATTGTGACCAGAACCGTAATGGTCTTTCTTCTTTTAAAAAGGCCCAACATGCAGCAGAAATAGGAGCTGATGGCATTGCTGTCATTGCTCCTTTCTTTCTCAAGCCATGGAACAAAGGTAAGTAGAGAGATCTAAACGCACAGTGCCTCATGTGATCTATTTCCTTTTGTCTTTATTTAAAATAGTTATATTTAACACATGAAAGTATCTGTGGACTGGAGGCATGAAATTGCAATGGTACTGTAGTTCTCTGAAACATTTGGCCTCCCCAGATCCATAAAAGAAAAGGCTTCATTAAAGGGCTTCAGCTTTTTTGCCAAGTAATCTGGGCCATCCACTGAGCCCAGATGCTCCGATAAGGGCCTGTATTTGAGTCAGGAGACCACTCCTGACTGTTGTGCAGTGTCAGAGTCACATGGCAAAGCATAAGACCATTTTTCTCAAGAAAGTAATGTAAGTGATGGGCATTTGAGACTATATAGGTTCTAGTTGAGTGAGTGAAGAGTTTGAAAACAGATTTCACAGTTGTCTTCCAGAATATCAAGTTATTTTTTCTCCTCCTCTGCTTTCTCTATGGAAGCTATTTGTGTTTTCAAAGTACACTTTTACACTTTGAATCATTTTAATCCTTTTGATTAGCAAAAAAAAGAAATACAAATTTTAAAGGAATTAAAACCAGACAAGATGTTATTTGCATGCATGATGAAGTAAATCTGTAGCTAAATGTATAATGGGTCAAAATTACCATGACAGATGACAAAGGATAAATAATGAGTTATACATAATAATTTTGTCAGAAATACTGATCACAGACAGAATATATCATCACAGTATTCAAATGAAGTAGATAAGATTCTTCGACTATCCAGTGGCATCGAAAATATAAGCACTTCTGCTGGATTTATTTATCATCTGCAGTAAGTTTGCAGTTGAAGCTCACACTGGATGATGTAGGAAACCCCAGTCCCTCAGTAAACCAGTGTGAGCTCTCACCTGAATATCTCGATTTCTCCCAAAATGGGGAATGTACCAAACTCTGGTTGTATTACTGTGAGATGTGCCATTATTCTTATAACTTCCCTCTCTGCGCAGGTGTTGTTTATCTTTTTGTTGCAGAATTTTCTCAGTTACAACTTTGTTATTCTGATTCTATTGCAGAGTCCTGTTGTTCACCGACCACTCTTAGCTCTTCCAGGGTAAAAGGACAGAAGTCCTACTGATGGGCTTCTGGTTTTTATAAGAGTATTTCATGAGCTTCTCTTAATGTGTGGGAAAGTTAGCACTGGTTTTTCAATACCATTTCAGTATATGGTAGGAAAGTAATCATCTTACTCTGGCCTTTCTACAGAAAGGAAAAAAAACTGAATGACATGGGTGGCAAAGACATGGCAGTAGCAATATCAGGGATGGTAAAAGTGGTCAAAAATTTTCAGCTTCTGAAAAGAATAGTTGCATTTCCTCAGATGGTTCATTTCTTTCCCAGAGATAGCCAGTGCTGTACACTTGTTCACACCACGTTGCTTCCTCCTGTTCTTGCAGATGTCCTGACTAATTTCCTAAAGGAGGTGGCTGCAGCCGCCCCCGGCTTGCCGTTTTATTACTATCACATTCCTGCCCTGACAGGGGTAAAAAGTAAGTGCTGCTTCTTTGATGTTTCTTTCCCTCTACCCCTCACATCTTACCCTATTTCTCTAAGAAACTGCCACTCCATCCCATGTCACAAACACATAACAACGCTACTGACTAGACAGTTCCTACTGCTCCAAAATAAGTCACTTATAAAAAAATCTCAGCTCTTATCAATCATTGATACCTCCTTATAATGAAAGTTTTTAAGTATAAAGATGACTTCACCCCAAGATGCTTCTACCAGATACCTTGTGTCTGTCACACATACCCCTCCTTGTATGGGAAGACAAGCCTGTGAGTCCCTCTAAGACAGGAACTATCTACCTTGTGCCCTGTTGTTTACTCAGCACTTGGCACAAAGGGAGGCACTGATCTCTCATTTTTCTTTTGGCTTTTCTTTTATTACTACTGTAATTCTCTAGCAAGAAGATTGTTATTATATGAAATTTCTTAGATTATTTTAAAAATACCATTTCTAACTTCCTTAAGAGAAAAATAAGTTGTGCATTATAAATATCTATATGGAAGGCTTAGGGCTATAATTTGGCAAGCGCATAGGAACTAGTTGGCAAGGGTAAGCAGTTATGTCCAAACTGCAGGCAGTTGCAACTGAGAATAGCCCCTGGCAGCTCAGTGCAGATGGGTGGAGCTCTGTGAGATGTCATTTGATATTTTCTAGAGGTGTGCAGATTAATGAGGCATTTACTGTTTTGAGCAGTTCGTGCTGAGGAGTTACTGGATGGGATTCAGGATAAGATCCCCACCTTCCAAGGGCTGAAATTCAGTGACACAGATCTCCTGGACTTTGGGCAATGTGTTGATCAGAATCGCCAGCGACAGTTTGCTTTCCTTTTTGGGGTGGATGAGGTAAGTCACCCCCTGGTCTATCCCAGCGGGTTAGTTTCCCCCAAAAATAATTTGTGTAGCTGCTTACATAATAGCATCTTTTCTCTTTCCCTTTCTCATAAAAGTGAATATCCTTTGTCTGTTTCTGAATAGCAACTGTTGAGTGCTCTGGTGATGGGAGCAACAGGAGCAGTGGGCAGGTAAGCATGACTCATCCTCCCACCAGTTATGAATGGAAAGGACCCCCAGAGTCATTCATTGCCTAAGTACCTGTACTTACTGCATGCACATTTTTTTCCAATGCAAGTTGCCTTTCTTTCCCACATTCTTTCAGTGAAAGGGAATGAAGTAGGGCTTAACAGTTTGTTAGCAACTCAGACATTGTTACTAGAAGCATGTGTTGCAGTTAGAAGTAAGGCACATGAACTGAGAGCATGCACAAAACTTCTCCATCAGAAGTTATTTGGTTATAATAACAGAAACCTATTCAAATTAACTTAACATGATAGAAAGTAAGTTATTATAAAATACTAGGAAATTGTATAAAACCCAAGAGGAGAAAGTACAGCCAGGTCTCAGAGAAGATGAGAACCCAGAACTGCAAAGCTCTCAACAGTCTAGGCAGACCATTCTCTATCTGTGGTCCTCTGGAGACTCACCTCTGCATCTGTCTGCACAACTTTACTTCCCTCTCTTTCTTTTTCCCTAGATGGGTTTCCTCTGCTTCAGCGTTCACATGACCAGTCATGGCTGCCCAAGCGTGGCATCTCAGGATATCATTAGACAGCACTGCCTTGTCAGGTGTCCACCTAAGGTCCAGGCAGCTGCAGCCAGGAAAGTAGAATTCCATATCCTAATGTCTACTCAGCAGAAGGCTTTGGGAAAGCAGTCAGTACAATTGGCATGTCCACTGCTCATGTTAACCAGATTCTTTAGAAAGTGCCTGCAAGAGATAGATTGCAATATTTACATTAACTGAAAGTGCATTTCCTTCCTGTAGGAAAAGTACAGGGGAAGCAAAATAATATTGATAACATGTCTTGGTGAGCATGGCTTTGACGAAGAGTAATTGAGCTAGATAATCTTAATGGTTTGCTCACCAAGCCCGAATGGCCTGCAACATCCATTCAGGGCCATCCATACAGGGACATTTTTACCGAGGAAACCTGAATGTCTGCATCTGCTGACCATGGAAATTCTCACTTTTTTTGCCTGGAAACTTTTACTACGTTGAGTCTTGGTTTTTGGCTTCCATACTAGACATTTTAATTCTGTCAACATAATCTATAAGTAAAGTATATTTAGTTAGACTTCACTTCTTCTTAATTTCATCACATTCTTCTTTGTCTTACTTGGGAAACACCAAGACCTCTGGGATCTAAATTTTAGTATTCTGGAACCCTTCAGACATTCATGAACATATTATGACTTAGGGGTATTTCATATCCATGAGTGACTTATTTCAGCTATTATATTTTATCTTTTTTTTATTTTATTTCCAGCAGATAATATGAACTTCATGTTCTGGGAATCCTTTGCTGTTGACCTTCTGTTGTCAGTACACCGAGATAAATACATTTTTCTGACACTGACTTACAATATGAGAAGTCATTAGAAACTGGATAAACGTCCTTGTTATAAATTTCTATAACCTTCTACTTCACTGGTTTCTCTAAGAGTTCAGTGCTTAGTCTAAGATATTGGTCTGTTGGTAGATTGAGGCTATTTTTCAAGTCCATAAGAACATTTTCTCAGATCAAATAACTTATTCTCACCTTCATTTTTGTTGAATAGTAGTAGAAGGCAGCATGAAGTGCTGGAAAGCTTTTGCAAGAACTCTGTGGCCCTTCTTCAAGCCTTAGTTTCTTCACAGCAAAACAGAAACCAGGCCTACCTTGTAGGACCTTGAGAGGATTAGATATGGTTTATGTCAAGCACATAGATATATTGGCATTTAATAAGTTACCTCTTACAGTGTAACACAGAGAAGGCACATAGTGGATCTGTGGCATCCTGCTGCACTGATGGACAGTGACTGCATTGGGGTATGGGGGGGGACTTGATAATATGGGTAAATATAGTAGTAACCACATTGTTTTTTCATGTGAAACCTTCATAAGAGTGTATATCAATCATACCTTAATAAAAAATTTTAAAAAACAAGTTATCTCTTGTTTTACTATCATCATTATTAATATTATTAGAAACTAACCTGCAGACAATATATTAGTTGGCAGTGAATTTAAATAATCTGTTGGGGTTTGCCCCTTTTGCTGTGGTGCCCCGTCCACCTCAGCATGAAGCTTTTAGAAGTCACCTCGGATACTCCATTTTATGCACAGTTCTTTTCTAGAATGGTGCCTCTGTGTGTGCTCTGGGGCAGGTGTTAGCCTCTGTTGTTCTCACCAAATACACCTCCATCTTGCCCTTTTCTTTTTTTCTTTCTCCAACTTTACTTTTTTCCATTTTTCTTCCTTTTCTTTATCCCTGTTGGTGTTCTCTGCCTCCTCTTGGCACTGCTTAGTGTTGCGGGAAAATTTAGAACTGAAGACCCCTAATCTTAGTAGATTCGGGCTTAAAAATAGACTTTGGGAAACCCTGGTATATTTTTCCCTTTTAAGCCCCAAAGGGGTTCAAAGATCTGGACTTTCCTGCTGAGCCACTGATCATGAAGTATGTGCTATTTTCTTTCCAGTACCTACAACTACCTGGGAAGAAGAACACACCAGATGTTGGAGGCTTTTGAACGAAAGGACTTCTCTTCAGCCCTGAACTATCAGGTTAACTTTTTTTCCCCTTCACATAAATCACAGCCTTTTATTTGCCCCACTGGATAATTCTTATTGTCTTTCATCTGCATTCCTGCCACACTTGCCCTCATTAAAATCGCCTAGCTGCCTCTTTCTTTACCTTCTTTCTGTTTCTTTTTCTTGTTTCAAACCAAACTTGTCCCCACTGTCTGTGTTTCCTACATGTCCAGTCAGGACAGGCCCCATATGGGAATGACTTCTGTTTGTTCTTCCTAGAAATGATCTTATTTTTACTTGATGTTCAAAGTATTTTTGAGATTGTAAAATAATAAGGATAGAATCCTAGGAAAATAATCACATGTCATTCCCCTCAAGAACATGACACCTGAGTCATCAGAGTATATGAAGAAACTTTGAAGCTGGGAACCTAAAATGGGGAGGCTTAATCCAAAGTCAGGGCAGGTCAGGCTGAGAACTGGAAACAACCACCAGGCAGAAACAGGAACCCAGTGAGTTATCCAAAAGGAGCCACTGGCTTTGAAAGAGGGGGAGAAAAGCAGCAGGAGCTCATGTGTTAACAGGGAAGATCCCAGGAAAAAGGTGGCTGCCGTTAATGTCCCATGATAGACAGTCTTGCTTTCCAGAGAACCAAGAGCCTCACTGGAGTATAGAACCAATCTCAGCAGCTAGGTAGTGCATGTATGTACTTTAGGTAAATGGAGTAAAGTAGAAAGAAAGAGGATAGACACAAGAGAAACTTTTGGAGGCTGAGAAGCACTGCAATTTTCAGGATAACAAAAGTGACTGAGGAGAATCCCAAGAAAATAAGTGGGAACGAAAAGCACAAGCAAAATCAGAGCAGGCAGTGGGTCCCAACAAAGCTCAGATAAAGGATCTTTTTGAGCAAGATGGGCTGCCATCAGGGCAATCAGAGATTATAGAGCAGAAATGCAAAGCATCCTGGAGGTTAGAGGTCCAACTCCAAGAGAACACGAGAAAGCAATTGCCAGGAGTGATCACTTACTCCCTACCCTTCAGTCCAGAATGTTGAGCCAGCCTGAGTCTATTTCCTGCTTAAGGTTTAAATAGCTTACTTAATATTCACCTTTGTTCAGCCCCAGACCATCAGGGTTAGGGACTTAGAAAGCTATGCCACGTGAACTAAACATTAGCAAGACTTTGGTTTTAATGAAGAAGTCTAAATTGTGTGGACTGTACCATCTCTTTGTATTCAAGGCTTATTTTCTTTCTCTTTAGTTTTCCAGAAAAAGTTATTTCTGAATATTCCAACCTCTTCTGAGCTGAATCACAGGGAAACCATAAGACAAAGTAAATTGTGAAACAGCTATAATGTGGACCCTTCTACTTAGTGGCTTCTTTTTTTTTTTAATTGAGATGCATACAACAAAATGCACAAATCTCAGTATACAATTTGGTGAATTTTGACATGTATATGTACTTATGTAACCATTGCCTAGATCAAGATACCAGACTTACAAAATTTTTTCCCCTTCACCAATTTCACACATCTTCCCTCCCACCTCTCTTTAGTAACCCCATGTTTTTTCTCTGTGTTTATGAGTCTATTTCAGTTTTGTTTGTTTTGTTTTTTTGATTCCACATATAAGTGAGGTCATACGGTATTTGTCTTTCTCTGTCTGACATATTTCACTTAAATATTATTATACTTCACTTTAGGTCCATCCATGTTGTTGCAAATGGCAAGATTTCACTTTTATATGGCTGAGTAGTATTCCATAGTGTATATGTACCACTTCTTTTTATCCATTCATCTATCAGTAGACATTTAGGTTATTTCTGTATTTTGGCTATTGTAAGTAATGCTGCAGTAAACATAGGTGTGCATATACCTTTTTGAATTAGTGATTTTTGTTTTCGTAAGGTAAATTTCCAGAAGTGAAACTGCTAAGTCATGTGATAGTTCTATTTTTATATATATATGCATATATATTTGTAAGGTTCTGGGTATTAAAATTTTATTCTGCATTGAATTTTTTATTACTAAAATACAATTGATTAAAAAAACATAAAAGTAAAGTATTATTGATAATACATCTCTTAATGAGATGGATGGGAATCTTTTTTTTATGAATTCATGAGTTCATGGATGAATGTTACATATTATTTAATGCTAGTATGATTTAACATTCAGCATTAATACAGTTTTTTTTTTGTTTTTAGAGAACTAAATACTATGAAACCCTGTTCATATAAATTAGTAGATAAGAATGGAAGAAATTGTGTTATAATAATGCTGCTCAATTCTTTGAACAGTTTTTGAGTCATGTGCCAAAAATCACAGAATGTTTGATCATTTAATTATTTTTCAGCTGACAACCTGAGTAGCAACACTGAAAGCAGTGTTGAAAGCAAAAAATTGAAAACACTGTGACTTTTTTAGAACACTAGTTATCCATTAATTAGAGGAATCACTGTCACTCTCTTTGTTGATACCAATACCAACACCCTGGTTTGCTCCTTTATTTGGTTCCCAGAAGGGTCCCAAGGCAATGATACAGGACATATGTCTTTATTTGTTCAAAAGTGGGAAGAAGGAAGGGGAAACATAAAAGGACAATTTGCTCCTCCATTTACGTGCATGTTCTTATTCTCAGCAGTTTGAGAATAGCATTAGGGATGTTGAGGATCTAGAAATTGATTCCCATAAATCTTAGCCTTAGCCAAATGCCACTTACATGTCTTAGAAGGTACCCCAGAGGTTTGTGTACCCTAGTTTGAGAACTACACTAGCTGAAAAGTTCACCTATGTAAGCTAGGGGCTAAGGGTGACTTCTCCTTTAACTGTTAAGCAGTTCTGTCACTGGAGCTCTTTTCTTCATGAGACCTTTCTGTGAAGCTTTTATGTATGAAAAGATCCTACCTTATCCTGGATGGATCTCAAGCATCCTCTCTTGGCTGTCTTTCTTCACTCTGACAGACTTTCAGAAAACAAAAGTGTGTATCCTGGGGAAATAAACTTTTTAGTTTGGGGTTTCTGTAATTTAACCTCTAAATTCTTTAAATCGTTATCACAGTTCAGTATTACTGACTACAGATTTGTTTGTTCCTTTCCAGTTTCATATTCAGAGATTTATCAACTTTGTGCTCAAACTAGGTAAGTTTCCCACTTTGTCTGCTACTGGAGAGTGTAAAGGAGATGGAACTTCATCACTTTCTCTGAGGGTTCAACAAGAACACTTTGTGCACACAGAGATTTATTTCTAGCCCTAACCCTCAGAGCCAGACTTATAAAATGGTAGTGTGAACCTGGTTGGCAGGTCTTTGGTATCCTTATACAAAGCTCTTTCCTCCATTTTAGCACTTGGTTTGCGTCTCCAGTCCATACACACACTGTTATTTATTCCTTCTCTCCTACACCATCAGCATTCGCTCTCTTTATTTGCCTCAGCTCATTTAAATTCCACTGCCACCCTGGCTGATTTCAGCCTAAGTGCTTGGAGGAAGGCAGTCTGAATGTGGATCTTACTAACTTGAGAATGACTGACAGCTCTCCCAAGAGTATTTGCAATTTAAGAATAGTTTATTAATTCAAGTAAGCTTAAATGGATGGAGGTTTAGATAACATGACAAAGTAAAATTTGAGGGAAATATAGTGAATTTAGAATACAGAAACCTCACCAGAGTCTCCTGACAAATGACAAATGCCACCATTCACTCCACTTCTGCAAGAGAGGCCTTCCCTGAGAATCTGGGTCAAGTCTAGGGAAAGTTTTAGGTTTATTCTTGGAAGACCTCCCTCCTCCTTTTCAGAGCCTTTCTGCCTCACCTGGCAACTTCTCCTGAGCCCCAAGCACCTGTTGTTATGTATTAGGCCCCTCATTCTCAACAGGGTTCTCAGCTAGCTCTTAGCATCCTTCAAACACATTGTTTCCCATTTGCTTTCCCGCTTTAATTATTTTTGTAATATTTGTATGCCACCAGTACTATTAATTACCTACTATTCTTTCCTTGTTCTAAATAATACTTTTCACAGAATTGTAGGTTTGGGGTTTGGTGTGATAGTTTTATGTTCCTAAGGTGCACTGAAGTAAATATCAAGCTATTAAAATTAGAACTGAAACTGTACCTATGTATATATAAGATCATTTTGTGTAACAGCAGTGATAAAGCAACATTTTTGCAAAACAAAGCTCTTGATATTGGCTGAAAGGCTTTACACTTTTGCCATAATATTTGCACCTTAAAAGGGGACTCTTGAAGATAGTTTTATGATATAAAAGAACATACCTTTTAAAAACTCATTTCAACCTTAATAAAAATTTTTAAAAAAAACTCATTTCAAACTTTCTTGGGGGTCAGAGTTTTCATAGTTTAGTCAAAAAGAGAGTTAATATATTTTTAGTCCTATAATAAAGGTAACTCCATATTCCACCATTCACAATAAGCCCAGGAGGGCCATTTTGCATTCATCAAATATATTCTATGTATATAGTCATGCTAGTATCTTCCATCACAGTGCTCAATTGCTACTATAACTAAGTTAACTTAGCAAAGGAAAGTTATTTCTCATACCGTGGATGTGAAAGAAATAGCCAGTTAAGAAGCAAATATCTTTCTCTCTGTGCTATATTCTGGATTATTTCTTTAGATCAACCCTTACAATCACTAATTCTATCTTTAGCTATGTTTTCAACTATTTAGTTTCACTGAATATGTATTTTTCTTTTCTAGTATTTCATTTTTGGCTTTTAAAAATATTCTCCTGGTTTTTAAAATTTATATGCCCCTCTCTTGTCTTGTGGCTTCTATTCTTTCCTTTACCTCTGTGAAGTCTCTTCCAGAATTTTGTATCATCCTTTCTCAGGATATGAAATTTGTCAGTTGTGCATTTGTTGACTCTTGGTACAACTTCTTTTTCCTCATGTGCTTTGTGACTTTTAACTCCTAACTCATCTTCAGAGACTGTTGTTTTCTGGGGAATCCATTGTGCTCTAGGTTAGGTGTCTTACCAAGTGGTTTTCCATTTGCCACGGTTAGGACACTATAGTTTCACCATTTCTAACCAATATTTAGGTTAATTTCTTAATCTAGTTCCTGTACCAAGTGCATAATGCAAATGTGGATCCAGCATTCATTTATGGCATAGACTTGGAATTTCTTTCACATGATCTTTTTCTGTTGCTTGTCATAGAAGGCTGGCTACCAGCTTTACACAGGGAATTTAATTATAGCTCCTTGCTAAACACAAACCAAAGGTTTCATCTTGCATCCCTGCCCTAACTTTATAGCAGCAGCTCTAAAACAGCAGCACTGAGTCATAAACTATCTTACAAACTACCATACTACTCCCTTCTCAAGGGCTTTTTAGCTGTGCTTGAACTACATTCTATCCTACCAATGAAGTCCTCATCATTCGATCAACAATAATATGTCCTTCAGTCCGATTATTCTAACTGACCATTTGGCTTCAGCTCATCCTCATCACCCTGACCTCTGTATTCAGGATATCGTTTGGTTCCTCCTTGCTTTTGAGGTTGACTTTGAGTCTTACTTTGTTTTGTTTTATAGTTTTTCAATTTCTTAAAAATTTTCCAACACTATATGTGAGAAGCAGGAAGAGGGATCTCCTATGTCTGCTCAGTCTATCATATTGACTGGAAATATTCCCATCTTTTAGTTCCACCTTGTCCTATTGTGGCAATCGTATGATCTCTTCCTTGGGGTGTCTATGCCAAAGTGGGCAGTGCTGGTCATATTTCCTTGTTTACTTTTCCTGTCTAGGTTTCGGAGTGTCACAGACTAAAGCCATCATGACTGTGGTCTCTGGAATTCCAATGGGCCCACCCCGGCCTCCACTGCAGAAAGCCTCCAAGGAGTTCACTGACAATGCCAAAGCTAAACTGAAAAGCTTGGACTTCCTTTCTTTCACTGATTTAAAGGATGGAGACTTGGATGCCTGTAGCTAGGGCCTCTCTATTAAATTGGTGTATATAATCCACCTTGAATAGTACATTCATTTATAAAGACATTATAAGTAAGCTTGAACTAAACTCTTTCCTAACAGATAAAATCTTATATCAATCAACAAGTATTTAAGTACTAACTATGATCCTAAAACTTTATTTTGTGAAGGGGCAAAAACTCTAAAAGTAGTCATGAGCCCTAAGTTATTCAATATTTCTAAATTTTTTGTGGAGAAATATCTGCTTATATGGTTGAGGTGGAACAAGAGTAAAATTGTAATTTATTCCATCTGCCTTTGAGAGGTTCCATTATCTTGATTTCTGGTTTTTAATCCTGTTTCAAAGTTTTCTAAATTTAAACAACTGTAATGTACTTTCATTATAATAAAATTTCTTTTGAAAACTAGGACAACTCTGAGCTACTGCATTTAGTATATATATGTACTTAGTATATATACATATATAATATATATAGTATTTAGGCAGATACACTAATAACAAATTACATGAGTCAACTACACAACTATTAACACATCAGATCACTTGACTACTCAGTCTAACTCTAGAACTTTCAGATTAATTGGGATGTCACAATTTTCCCCCAAAACATTGGGTCAGATGAAAAAGACTTGCTTCAGTTCCTACTGCTAACGGGCCCATTAGAGTGGTTTTCACATAACAACAGAAAGGCCTTCCCCAAAATGAAGTCAAATCTCTCCTTCTTGCTATCCAGAGAACTTCTCAAAGTTCAAAGTTTCAAAGAACCAAAAAGCTCTGCTCTGGCCACCACAAATTTCCCCTTCCCCACAAAGAAGAGTCTCCTCCACAGAACCCTGAATTATTGGAAGTGAAGACCAACATCCCTTCTGCAGTGAGCCCAGGCACTACTGGTATTCCCTGGCCACACTTTCAAGCAGTCATTTTTCTTCTGCGTTAGAAGATTTGGGGAGGACCCAAAGATCTCACTTCAATTTTCTCTATACACCTTCTTTATTCATTTCTTTCTCTGCGTTCTGTCACTGACTATTTAAACTCCTAACAAACTCTGGTATGCTTTCTAATACCAAAGTGTATTGACAGTCAGCTCTTAGTGATTTTAAACCTGACTAATTAGTCTATTACCTAAGTCTTTTTTTTTTTTTTTTTTGCAGGTTCTTCTCTTAGTTTGCAGATTGACAGAGGAAAAATGTTTGAAATTCATATTGAAATTCATACTGTTTTTATCTCTTAAAATTAGAAAGAAAACTTTTCAAAATGAGTATTGAAAGTATCTGTTGATTCAATTATCTTTGCTAACACTCTCTTTAATTGATCACCTAATTAAATGTTGTTATGTTTATATTTCCTCATTCCTCTTTTTGCCCAGGAATGACATTCACTGTTTTCTCTTATTTCTCTCTCCTCCAGGAGTAAGATATCTGAATAAGAAATTGAACAACAGTGGTTTGTGTGAGCTTATATTCTATCTCTCTGAGATTTTCATTTCTTTATAGCTGTTAATTTCCTGAAAAAAAACTGAAGTTTTGTTACAGTCTGGTTCTGAGGATATCATATCCTTACCTAGCAATACTAAAGACAAATTAATTTTTCGATGAAGATAAATATTTGTATCCACTGAGAACTCTGTTTTTGCTCTTCAGAGGTCAGTGCTTAGAGAACTTCTAAGATGGTTAATGAGATCTTGAGAACACAAAGAAAAATGTGATGATTTTAAAAAATGACCAGGACTACTGGGTTCTGTTCTTCTGTTCAGGTTCCTGGACCCAATTCCTGTGTGGGGGTGGGAGCAGGGGGTGATTGGGGTATGTGGGCGGGGGGGGGTAGCAGGGGGGTAAGGGTCTTCCCAAGCAGGACACCAAGCAATTCTCAAACACCAGCAGGGTGTCTGAGAACTCAATTCTGACACTATCTGCCTGAGGACACCACCACATCCAACAGATAAAGGTTCCATCCGACAAGACTGCCTCCACCCCAACTCCGGATGCCAGTTGCAAGCGCCCGGCTGTTATCTGTGCTTATGACCAACCAGCTACAGTTTGGAGGTTCCAATGACCTCCCCCTTAGGTTCAATTAATCTGCTAGAGGGGATCACAGAACTCAGAAAGACACTTGCATTTACCAGTTTAATAAAGGATACTGCAAAGGATAAAAATTAATAGCCAGATGAAGAGAGACATAGGGCAAGGTCCCAAGTAAAGGAGCTTCTATCCTGGTGGAACTTGGGGACTGGCTCAGTAGCACTTGGAAGATTTCTGGTTCCCCAAACCTAGAAGATATTCCTCTGACAAGAGAAGCAGGCTGCTGTAGGGTCAATGGAGGTTTCAGTAGCCAGGATCTTCACCTGACCCTAATCTACTTAATGTTGTAATCGGCCTACTGCACAGGCTAATGTTTACACACTTGTTGGCAATAAGCCATTATTGCCTGTGTAGCTATATAAAGAGCTCCTCCCAGTGTTTGGGGTAGAGCAGAGCCTGAAGCATGAGCAGAGACAGAAGACAGAGATGAAAATAGACCTGCCAGATGCATGCATGATTCCAGCATTCAACCTGCCACTGGGGGAGCAAAGCTTGGTATAAACCCTTTTACCCACCCCCAGTGCTCCATTGTTGTTTTTCAGTCTTACCAAATCCAGTGCAAACTTGCCCAGAGCTGGGAACCCCCTCTGGCCTAAATGCAAACTAAATTTAGTTCAGAATTACATGAGAAGCTACAAATGCAAAAGGGAGCACAAATGCTCTTCTCATGGGTGTTTGTAAGGGCTTTGTTGTATAGTTAGGATTAACTAAGTCATTGGCCATTGGCTGATTGAACTTCCAGCCCCTCTGCCCTCTTCACTCCAGGGGTTAGGGTATGGGGACTGGTGGCTGAAAAGTTCCCACCTTTTAATCAAATGGTTGGCCCCCCTGGCAACCAGCCGTTACCTTTGGGTGGGGTCCAAAAATTTCATTAACGTAGCAAGACACCCTTCACCTTTATGGCTCTGAAGAATTTTTCAGGAACTGGATGAAGTCCAAATGTATCTGGAAAATATATTTTGCTCATCTGAATGACCAAATATATATTTCTTATTAATCATTATATCACAACTCTATATATTTTAACATCCAACTTCTTATAAGTAAATATTGTATTATATAGTAGTAGGTTACTAATAATGTCTTGAATCAAAAGTAAAATTTTGGAATATTATGAACTTACTTTTATTTTTGAATTCAGTTTTTAATGTTAAAACTAAAGCAATGATGTGAAATCTTTCATTCAATACAGTTAAAAGCTGATTTTTAACTCTTTGTTTCAAGATGGAAAGCTGATATCAATTCAGATGGTTGGGGATGGTTGGAAGCACAAAGTGATTAGGGACTGGTTTTACTTAGGATCTCTCAGAATTATTTATAGATAAAGGAAAATGCCATAGTGTGTGGGGTAGGGGGAGTGGGATAATACATATTTTTCTCCAGGAAGGCTATTTGCTACAACTTGAGAGAAATTTCCTTTTTATGATCACCTGAAAGGCCCAGAAAATCCATGTTCTCCAGAACCTGGAGACCAAGAGAAGTCTGGGTTGGGCTAAGGGACTTCATAGGGTGACTCTGCAACCCAAGGCTAGGGCCTCTTGGGCTTGCCTGAGTTCTCCTGTGAGGAGAAATGGAGTGAGACTACCTGCCCATCAAATGAAGAAAAGCAAACAACAGATCTGACCCATTTAACCATCCCCCTTATCACATGCTCACTCAACCCTCAACTTCCTTCAGTTAACCTAGGAAGGATACCTGGAGCCAAAAGTATACAAACAGCAGAGCTAAACCTCAGGTAGAGGTGGGGCATCACCTTGCACTTGGGGTTTCTGAGGAATAGCTACCTGGTGGACAAAATAACAGATGCAAATCATGTTTTCCTATCAACCATTTCAGTGGCTCTTAGGAAATCATTTGATACATTGGACACTTCTTCAGTATTTTAAGTTAGACAACCAAAAGAAAGCTTTACAGGAATGCTTAAATCTTAATCACGCAATTAGTAAACATAATGGAATGGAGTCCACAGAATGCCTACAGAATCTGTATCCAGAAGGACTAGTTATGTTATAGTAGGTAGATAGCCAGACATGAGCAGGGAGGGGACTGGGGACTTTGGCCAGTGTTTACATTCAGTTAGGTGCTTGTTTATATTCTAAACAGCCCATGTAAACTATTCTCACTGGATGTGGGGAGGGAATAGACCTGTCAAAACTGGTTCCACCATGGAGGAGAAGTTGACCCTGACTTCACCTCAGAATACATTATAGGCTCATTAGCATACTAAAAGTCACACTGCTTGTTGCCATGACAGTTCTGAGGCAGATCATCTAAGGATAAAAAGAGCATCACCCTGTTTCCCAGGAATCCTCTCCCTAGTCTGAGAAAAACCCCACCTTCCCAATGAAAATTTCACCCCTTGCTTCAATTCCAGCCGTAAGACCACCCAAGCCAACCCCACCATGCTGCTCACCCCTGGAGCACTCCTGCACTCCCTCCTTGAGTGTGTGCTTTGCTTTACTCAATTACTCTGCTGCTCACCTCTCAAGCATGCCCACACTCCTTCCTTGAGTGTGTACTTTTGCTTTATCAAACTACTGTTTGCTTGTACCTGCTTGACCTGCTCATGAACTCTTTCTTGATCAGAGTCAAGAACCCTTTCTTAGGTTGAGGTCTCACCTAGCGCACAGGGACTGGATCTCCCCAGATTGGATTTCCTAACAACAGGTACCTGTATCTGTATACTAGTTACAGAGAGTGTTCGAATTCTATGCCACACGGACCACCTAGGAGCCTGGACATCGTGTTCACCTCCAATATATTCTCTACACAGCAGTTAGAATGACCTTCATCAATGCCAGAGTCCCAGGTTTGAGCCAGATATTTGGGTGAGGCCCTGTAGGCACAGAAGTTGTTGCAAATATCAGCCTTTGGGGACAGTCTTTCTCACATTCATCAGCAAACAAACATAACAAAGTTATTTTTGAGGTCCTGGAAGCAGGCTCCCACTGGTGGGCAAGGACATCCGAGTCTCAGAGGGATCTATAGTCCAATCCAGTTTGCCCCACTTAAGGTCACCCTGGCTTGGGTGGAAGGAGCTGGTACAGCATTCCTGGGAATCTTGGGACTGAGGTGAAACAGTGATCCACCTCTGGGCTTGAGTGAATGAACAAAGCTAAAAGCATCTCTAACTGACCGCCTCAAATAATATTCACAAGCCCAGGTGGTCCTCAGGTTACAATTACCATGTGGATCCCCCAGAACATTAAACCAATAAGTACTGTCCTTTTCTGAAGGAAATCGCCTCAGCTTTGACATCCCAATTTGAGCAATTTGGATTCACTTATTAACTTAATTTTTATTTACTTTTAGGGAATATTCTTACTTTCTT